TCTTTTCAGACATTCTAATAAAATAATATCACTCTGCACCCGGGGAAGTTTGGAGGGAAATAAATAAGGTTTTCCTAAGGCAGCGATGGGCTCTCAGTCCAGGTATGAAGGTTCAAGGCTTCAGGGTTTTGGACTTTTGGTCCAAGAGCTTCATGGAAGTCTGGACCCACTTTTTCTTGGGATCAGCACAGACCTCCTTGCCCAGTTTGGTCGTGAAGCTGTGGGAGAAAGAGGGCACAGTTAGACGGAGTGTCTTGAGGATTTTGCCCAGGAGTGTGGCCTGTTGGCCCTTAACCTAATTAGCCTTTGCTCCCTGGGTGAGGAGCCAGGACTGGAGAAGGAGGAAGGGGAAATGGAAGGAAGAGGCCTCTCTTCCAGAAAAGAAGTTCTGTTACTGTCCCAGGGGAAGCCCTCCAGGCTCCTGGCTGAAGGTACTTGGATGATCTGACAAAGCTCCTAGAAGAGGAGCCTGGAGTGAGTGTGAATTTATTCTTGTGGGCTTTGTTTATGGGGCAAAGGGCCCTTTGGATTAGCTGGTATATTTGTCTGACTCATAGGGATGTGCAGAACTCAGATGGAACTTTTGGCTGCGGGGGCCAGGGCATGATCCACTCACATCACAGCTTCCCGGGGACACTGGCTGTTGGTGATTCTTGTGTAGCTGTCCAAATTCTTGAAGGGGATCTTCCCATTGATCACTGTAAAGCAGCAGGTGATTGGGATGGAAACCGAATCTGAAAAACATTTTGCAAAGAATGAGCGTTATGATGCATCGTAAGCACACATTTATAAGAGAAGGAGGAGAAGGTAGAAAACCAAGCAAATACACAAGCTCTAGGTAGGACCCGCTACTCCCAAGTTTGGTGCTTTAGTCCAGATCCCACAGGTAAAATGTTACCGATGAGTCTATTTCCTCTAATGAACTATGGGGTACCTCATTGTCAACTGCAAATGGAGAAATCTTGAGTAACAAGATTAATCCTTGCAGGGGATCTACTGATCCAAAATCCCTGACCCCAAGAAGGTAAGTTCCAAGACCTCGCTTCCCAGATAGTTGTCCCCATGGGCTTCAAGCCAACCTGTGTCACATGCTGAGATGCCTCTGGGTCCTTATCCTCCTTACACAGCTCTCATTCTGGATGCTACGCTGGACCATAATCTAAAATTTGAAACCTCAAGCAATAGTTGCCTCCTGTCCACCACTGCCTGAAATATCCTTCGCATCCACAATGAGAAATGGTCCTTCCTTCTGTGTCACATCCCCAAACAAGGTGAGGATTCTTATGGTAGTGGCTGCACTGAGTGTCCCAAATTTGGTGCTGGGAAAAATCAGAGACTGGCCTCAGTGACCTGGGCATCTGGTTCTGGTTCTGCCTCTGACTAGCTGTGACACGCTGGCTGTCCTCAGTTTCCCTCTTGGTTTCACTTTCTCCATCTTTGTCACATAGGCTATGCAGCAGGCATGGGATGACTCATGTTAAGACTTAAGAAGAGAGGAGCCTTACCTGGCTGAGCAAGCACCTGGGTGCTGAAGGTGGCTGATGTGAGCAGCAGGCACAGAAGAGATGCTGAGAGCTTCATGTTGGAGGGTGAGCACGGGAGCTTCAGCGCGAGAGTTGGAAGTTTCTGAGTTGGTCTCAGTCTCTCTGCAACTCTGGCTACTCTGGCTGCTCTGCCTGCCTTTTATCAGGAGCAGAGCGCATGGGCGGGATCATGTTTAAGGAAGGATGAGATAAGACCTTGAATGTGCTGAGTTGGAACCAGATCCTGGTGGTGATTTCCGAACACCAGGAGGAGGAAGTTGAGATAGTTTCCATCATTTGTTTAGACAATGTGGAGCAGAGGTGGAAGGGTATGTGGTTATACCCAGCAAAGTGTGGAAAGTGACCTCACTGGACTGTTAAGAGCTCTGATTTCCTTGAAATGGAAAACGATCTGTCAGAAAGGAAGAGTGGGAGCCACAGTCCTTCCCTGTGGAGTGAAGAGAATCAAGGGTCTGACCCTCCCTAGGACCCAGGAAGCCCTAAGGCTTTGCTTGAGCTCTTTATCAGACTCAGGTCCCTGCCAGCCTAAACTAGGCAGGCTCCTTTAGAACTTCACGCAAGCATCTCGATGAACCCTTGGCCGAATGGTAGGCAGCATCCAGGAATCTTCACATCTTAATGTCCTGGAATGTTCTGTCGTGGAGCCTAAGAACTGAGCAGCCTTGTGGTTTGCAAAATTTTTCTCCCATTCCATTGGTTATTTTTCATTTTGTTGATGGTTTCCTTTGCTGAGCAAAAGCTTTTTAGTTTGATATAGTCTTACATATTTAGTTTTGCTTTTGTCGCCTTTGCTTTTGGTGTCAAATCTTTTGCCCTTTTAAAAAATTGGGTAGTTTTCCAACAACTGACTTTAAAAAGTTCTTTGTATATTTTTCATTCAAGTCCTTTACTAGATTTATGCATTGCAAATATTTTCTCCACAGGCTATAGCTTGTTTTCTTAACAATGTCTTTCACAGAGCAGAATTCTAAATTTTAAATTAAAATTTTCAAATTTTAATGAAGTCCGATTTACCAATTTTTCCTTTCATAGATTTTGCTTTTGGTTATTATATCTAAAATCTCATCATCAAACCCAGGTTTGCATATCACCTTTTCAATGAGCATTTCCAGACTTTCCACAAAGTCATTCAATATTCTCCAATAATCTTGGGTGTTAAAAAGTCCACAGGGGTCCATATATAAAGTCACCATAATTAATTTAAGCATTTCTCTATAGTTGGGAATTATTTAATTTCCATTTTTCACAATCACAAACAATAATTATGAGAATGCTGCTGTAACATTATCATAAATGTCTCCATTCAGTTCCATAGCTAAGGGATATTATTAAGGTTCTTAATCAAATTATAGCATTGTTCCATTGCAGGAATATTTGCATCTTCATTAAAATGTGAGTTTATTAATCTTAAAAGTATTTGACAATGCTAAGAAGAAGATATTTGTCTCGTTAAAAGGTAAAACTAAGCCATAGAATAGTGGTTTCCTTTGCGGTGGTGAAGTCATGAGGGAGCCTTTTTAGATGCAGAAAAGTTCTTTATCTTAATCAGAATGGTAAACAGTTGTCTACAAACTTAAAATTCATGAGATTGTACACTTAAAATTTCTGCACTCTTGTATATAAATTAAACTCCAACATAAAGTAATAAGAAAAAAGTTCACACTATTTTGCTTGCATGTTAATTTATTTGTTTCTTAATGTATGTGTTAATTGATTTTTCTTGTGATTAATATATTCATGTTTTTATATCAGATGGCCTTTTATTTTTCATATTATTCAGAAAAGATTTTTGAGCATTTGCCTCATATATTTTCCATTTATTGCAAATACTGTGTGAACTTGTACGAGTAAAGAATTTGCAGAATGTGGGACAAATCGGTGTCATTGGGATTTCTTCTGTTTCCCTTCCAGACAGTCCCTCTGTCAGGTATACCACGTAGCACTGATCTCTGTGAGGGTGCGTTGGCTAAGAAGATGTTTGCATACATTTTTCATTCAGAAATAAACTCTCTGTCTTACAGAATACCCTCCAGGCTTCATTAATTTGTCCTCTGAGCTGCCTTCATATGGAAAGTGCATCTATAAGCTGATGACAGAAATAGTAGCAAAAAATCATAGTTATTGGGAATCAGGGAGAGTTAGTCAAATGAAGGGAACAACAGAAAGAGACTCACAGACATAGAAAAAGTCTGGAGTTGGATACTAGGAACACTAGTTAAAATCTGTGTCAGAGAAGGCACAAGTTATATAACTTCTCTAGACTTCAAATTCCTTACCTATTCTTTACTTTCTTACGTGGCAATGGAGTTTATTGTTAATATTGAACTACCTGATACCCACAATCTGCTTTGCAGGTTGAGCAGCACGTGATAAGCGATAAATAAGCTAGCTGTCATCAGTAGTCAAATGAGGGGGATGCCGTGTCGAGAACTCACTAGGAAGGGACCCAGAGTATGGTTCTTGGTCTCCTGTACAAGCTCTCCCTAAAATTACTTCCAAAGATATCTGGTAGGGATAGGCCTCCAAAAATGTCTGTGTTGTAGATGAATCAAGAAAAAGAGTCTCCCAGAAGCAGAGGAGAAGTGAGATCCTGGGATCCTGCCATGAACCAGAGGAGTGGAATGTCGTGGGGCCTCAGGGCGGATGGGGGTCAGACCCCAGGGCTGACACGCCAAGGGTCTTAATTCTACAGGGAGCTCAGAGATCGCAAGCGGTAAGTCACTTTGATTATGCAATTTCCCTCTCTTGTTTTGTTTTGAAACTCATTCAAGAAAGTCTGACATAAAAAGTTAAAACGAAACTTTAAGCCCTGCAAATTCAGCAGCTGTTCTTTCCTGCGGCCTTGGCTGTGTCTTTTCAGGGAAGTGGTTATTCTGCCTTCTCCTTTTTCTCAGCATCTTCCCAGTTTCCTCAAGCAGTTTTGACAACTCACCCATGGCTCAGGGGCTGTGAAGGGGTGCCTGAGGTCAGAAACAGCCTCTGTGAATAGAGGGCCAGAAGTGGGTCCCCTGCTGTGGAAATAGATCTGGATTCTGATGTGGGTCTCAGGGAAGCTAACGAGAATGGACAGCATCCTGGGAATCAGGACTTCTGCTTTCATTTCTCATTTTCATTTCTCTGTCCCAAGCATCCTCAGTGATCACAAAATTATAGAATGAGTTAGAAGAGACATCTGCATTTAATTGATTCAACCCTTTCCCTTTACAATTGAGAGAATCCATTTTAGAAGTGAAATAATTTGTCGCAGGGTGTACAACTACTCTGTGACAAGCCGGAGCTGGTGAGTGGGCCCGTCAAAACAAGCGCCATCATTCAGTTCCAAGTTAGAAGACAAGAACCAGGCAGAAAAACGCAGTGAGGTACCCAGGATCCACCAGATCTGCCTGTCCTACTAGAATGCCCCAGCCAAGGATTTACAATACGGAAGGGATGCCTTCCCCCACTCCCACATACTGACTCAGGGTCTTTGAAGATACTGCCTTGAATTCTCTGTTTTTGAAGTGTTTCAGGTGACTTCATTTATTTATTTATTTTTGGTGGAGGTATTGGCGATTGAACCCAGGCCCTCATGCATGCTAAGCATGCGCTCTACCACTGAGCTATACCCACCCCCAGTGACTTTTAGCCATGGCCAATTTGGGAGCCATTAACCTAGTTCAAATGCTTCATTACAGATATGGAAACTGAGGCCCAGGGTTGTAAAATGATTTACTTAGAGTCAATCTGACATTTTAGTAAAGACCCCAAAGCAGAACTCACCATGCCCAGTTACACACTGGGTCTCCCAGTTTGGTCGCTGAGACAGGCTGAGTCGTCATTCTAACAGAGGCCCCAGAATCTCCAATGTCTTGTTTCTGTAGGTTCATGGACCAGAGATCAGCAATTGTGGATTCAGTTGGAATATACATATAAAATTATTTGAATGACTTCATAGGTCTTAACAAGAGGAGCATGAATAGAATCTATTTGGACTTGGGAATATGTAGTTCACTCTACAGAGCCCTTCCATCACCTATACCCACTCAGTGCCTAATAACTGCTCAGCACAGAGGACCATTTGAGACTCAATAAACTACCCATAATGTCTATTATTGTCCTTTATAATAACTCCATGGAATCAATTGGAACTTTGATGGCAGCAAGCTGTTCAGTTGCTCCTGGGGCTTCGGGGGTGCCACTGGGATATGGATAGACGTTGCCCTGACCCTATGTTTTTGGCTGGCTTGGTAGTGTGGATCCTAGGCACTGCCTCACCCTACTCTGTCTCTGCTGGCCAAAGCTTCAAGAGACGTGAAATGGAGTTTGTCTGTTGGATTTCCATATCTCCTGATGCACATGTTATCTCAACTTTATTGATGGAGCAGCCAAAGAATATGACAAAGTATTGATCTGTCACATATGTCACAGAACAGAGCTCCCAGGTCTCTAGCTGTCCAGGCCAGGCTCTTGCCCTGGTTTCAAGTGTAACACATGGAACAGTGTGGTACAGCATGGCACAGCATCACATGGGTTGCCTCATCCAACTCCAATAGTTTCCTAACTAATAACTGAGTGGAGGGTTCTGGTTCTGATGTTGTCTTTCTTCATTTGGGCTGTTGGGGTCTTTATCAAACAGGAATACCCTTGGTCACTGTGACAAGTCAGAGGGACATGGAGATTCTCATACTAGCTCTTAAAGGCAGAGGCCTTTAAGA